GGTTAGCTACGTGACATATAAAGCCAAATGCAATATTCATCTTCACAAATAAATAAATATTATAAGCAAATAATTAATAATCGTATCAGTAAGAAACAAAGACAAAATAACCAAGGAAAACAGGAGTTCAAAGTCTTCTAAAACATAGCAAAGAGGTCTCAGTTCTGCAAAATATATGAACAGGTATACAATTCTATCACTGTTCAGAAAATCTTAAGCAGATACCTTTAACTCAGTGATTGCAATGGAATTTAAACTTCATGGATTTGAAAGAAATCAAATACAAGAAGAGAGTTTAAAGTAGGCAGACAAGTAGATAAATTACAAACAAAAAACACAGTAAGAAGAAAATATGCATAAAAATTTGATAAATTTAAGAATACAGCTAAAGGCACTTGAGACACTGGACAACTGTTGCCCAGTACACCTAACAAAATAACACAAGCATCCTACAATGAAAATACAAAAAAGCATCAAAGCATTCAATTTGGAACCTTGATAGTTAGTGGCATAAAAAGATGAGATTCAAGCTTACAGCTCCTGTGCTCTGACAACGTAGTCCACTTGATGGAGCACTGAGCTGTAAAACAAGATCATGATAAGTTTTATAAAGATTCTTGGAGATCTGCATTAGAAAGAGATTTTCAGAGTGCTCTTTCACAACAACTTCTAATTTTTTGACTGGGTCTTTTTTTTTTTTTTTTTTAAATAAAATTCTGTGTTGCCCTTCACAAAGAAATGACAGAAGATTCCAACTTTTAGGCATACATTGCAACATAACTGAGGATGAAAGAGAGGAAGAAGTTCATCCTAAAGCAAATTAACAAATTCAGGAGTGCATACCAAGGACATTAAGAATGATGCTCCATTCCAGGGCTGGAAGAGACCTCAAGAGATGGTGTAATTGATCCCTTTCCCCCAAGACAGGCTTTAATGAAAGCCTGGAAGAGGATGAGAGGAACTGAATTACCATTCAGGATCTTTAGTCAAGTGTGAAGATGTGACCTGAGAAAAGCATTTCCACAGCTCCCTTAGGGAAATGTCCACTGATCATCCTGGATTGCCACCAGATCACAAACCCAGTTTTGATTAATAAATTCAGATTAATAAATTCAGCACTTCTAGATGAATTACAGCACTTATGGCATGGCTTTTTACATGTGATGAAGGCTCTCACAGCTATTCCATGTCCAAACCACAGAGAAAAACAGAATAAAAAAAGACTTGGATTCCTAAGTCTTCACTTGTGTCTCAGCCTATCTTTTAAGAACTATGGCCATCATTTTGTGCTACTTAGTATTTTTTAAGACCAAGTTTCAGCAAAGCACCATTTCTATAGCTTAAAGCTCAGAGTTTGGTAAAAAGAAAAGGCACAGGCTAGGGCTCAGGATACATGAAGTTTTATTCTTAACTGTGCTATCCCAATGGGTTTTGGCAAACCACTTAATCACACTGCACCTGGATTCCCATCCATAAAACTTCCAAATTACATGGTAACGACTTCAGAGTATTACCTAGAGTACTGGGTATATGCACAGCAGCTTTTTGCAACACTGATCTTATACTAGGGGCTTTTATGATCAACTGCAGCATAAGTTATGACTTTTACCTTTTTTCTAATTCCTTAAGAAAAAAGAAGAAAAACAGAAGACAGTTTCCTGTTCTGCCAAAAGGAAGAGAGAGTGGGTGCAAGGGTAAGATACAGAACATGCCCAGGTTCACCACTCTTCCTGTTTGTCTCTGCAAAATTACATGACAGATGACTCTTAGCTAGTTTCATCTTTGCTAATAATTTGAATGGCAACCACTTACTTGCATGATCTGGGGAAGAACAGTGTCTCACTCTGGAGTAATGCCTGACAGCTGATGCTGTTACCCAAGTAGAGGCAGAAAAGAGTGAAAGTGACTGTCTACAAAGAGATTTTTACATTTTACAGACTTACAGAGCATATTTAGCCTTCTAAATCCAAACAGATCTAACTTTTCAAGGATTTTGGTGTGAGTCTAGTAGCCTTAATATCTTTACACATCTTTCCAGAACTACTGGCAAACACTCAAAGTGAAAAAAGTATAGGGATCACTTTTGGGTCTTCTTTCTTCTGCTTAAAATCACAGCAATCTTGATGTCTGACAGTCATAGACAGAGAATAAATATGAAAATAAATACGAAGAACTTGATAGAATTTTTTCAGGTGAAGTTGAGTTTTTCATAGCTTTGAGATGTCAGAATCTTTTAGGTCTCATAGAGACCTTGGTCTCCTGGTTGCTAGAAATCAATGAAATCCACAGACTCACTCACTAAAAAACAGGAAAATGACATGGAAAATGTAGAATACCAAGGAAGGTAATACAGATTCTGTTGCTCAGACTTACAAATCCACCATGATACCATATGTTGTAAATAGCTCCAGACAAGAAGTCTGTTTGAAGCACAAGTATACACATCAGCTTCTATTCTTCAAAGGTCTAAAGCAACAGCAGTATGACATGGCAGAACTGAGGGTTAATAACTCTGCTATCATCCCTACAAACTCAGAAATCTCTGTTCAGCACTATGCTGTGTGTTATGTGTGCTGTATTTCTAAAACACATTTCTCAATAATCATTTAATACTATTCTATGTGCTAGTTCAAGCAGAAGTTAAAAGTTAGATGAAAGCTATGAGAAATCAGAAGACTTGTGCAGGAGATGAGATAAAACAACCAGAATGCTGCATTATGTACATAAAATCTTGGTATTAATAGGTTTGATTGCAGTAATATGGGTCAAACTTGACCATCTTACAAGGCTTAGCACCTTATGTTGCCTGTGAAAGTACTGCTGTAATGAGTAAGGCTGTGTGAAACATGATGTGCTGTTCTCCACACATGTGTGACAGCATGTGATGCACTGCAAAAGGATACGCATTCTCCCTGAAACTAATGTAAGAAACAGAAATGAACAGACCTAAGACGGAGCTCAAAAATTCCAGCTACTTCCAAGGTAGCTCCCAGCAACTAGGAATGTTTAGCACATACTCTGCCATATGTGAGTAAGGTCCAGCATTATGCCTTTTCTTCAGAAAAGAGAAGACAATATTTTTACAGCTTCTCCACCTCTGCTTCCCCCAATGAAGTATCCATTCTGTAGTTTCCTCACAAATGTGGACTGTGCAGGACACTGAAAGGACAGAAAAGAAAGGCCTATGCAAAGAGAAAATTTGATTAAGTTAACAGAACAGTGTCTATCCTGTTTTATCAATTTTAGTTGTTACTTTACCATTAAGTTATCACTTTTATCATTTCACTTTCTTAAAAGTTTGCAAATAAATGCTTAATATCAGCTCAAGCTACTAAAGACAAATTTAGGAAATGCTTAAAGTGAAAATCTTTGAATTTCAAAGTTCTTGATCTAGCTAAAAGTAAGGTGTTCCTAATGGCATTCAGGGACCATTTGCAAACTCAAAGGCCATCTAGTGACTGAAGTTAAAAATCACACATTTTTAACATGGCAATATTCAAGTCATACTACCCATCAAACAGAATCACAAAATCATAGAATCACAGAATTGGTTGGAAAAGACCTTGAAGACCATCCAGTCCAACCATTTGCCTAACATTGACAATTCCCAACTACACCATATCCCTCAGTGCTATGTCAACCCGACTCTTAAACACCTCCAGGGATGGGGACTCCACCACCTCCCTGGGCAGCCCATTCCAACGCCCAACAACCTGTTCTGTAAAGAAATACTTCCTAATATCTAGTCTAACACAGGCACTTAAACACTAAAGAAAACACATAAACAATGACACATGCACTTCTACCCAACAGACCTGTTCATTAACACTAAAGAACAGGAAGCATTTGAAGTGAAAGTATGGCATATTTTGAAAATAAACATGGTTTCTTTGGAAGTAAGAACTCTATTCAGAATATCAGCAGAAATTCCTGGCGCCTGCTTAGCTCAGAACCTTCTCTTCTATGTCCACCTGAGCCTTGAATCTAACACAAATCTATTTTCTGCAGCTGGGCATTTACAGGAATGCCTATGTTAGGTAGTGTCAGCATCATTAGGAGCCATAAGGCAAATGTTTTGGGGTATGATCTAGCAGATGTGCTCAGACTAGCTTCACATGCAATCTTTCTCAGTTAAGAAAAACAGAAAGGTGTCTGCTGAGTTCTTAAAACTTGGTTGTGTGATTCATCTAGCAAGATTAACAGCAGGAGGGAGAGTATACTCTGATTTCCATCCCAGTCTAGGTCAGAGCTTGTGATCATGAAGAGTTAATTATACCAAGACAGTATATTGCATTGGTGTTACCACAGGCAGCTTTTACTCCCCAGGATGGGCACACTAAGGGTAGCTTTTGGTCCGATAATCAGTTACTGTCAGTCCATTATGACCATTCTGTACTAGATGGATGGCAGGGTCACTTGGGCCACAGAGGAACTCCTGGATGGAAAAAAACCCTTATCATTTCTGGTTGAAAAGCATGATGCATAGTGTTAGCAGCATAATTTCCCTGAAACTATAACACTAATGGGATACAATAAAGAATCAGGCCTTAATGTTCTATGACAAAGTCATAGTCAAAATAGGTTGCATTTAAGCTTACCATAACACAAGTAGATGGATAAAATCTGCTACACCATCATTTCAGTAGACATCTCTGCTCATTTTATATCAGCTTGCTTGACTAATTTTGTATATCTAGACTGAATGGTGCCTTAGATATATCTACAGACCTACAGTGACCACTGTAGGCAGTTACCACCATAGGCCATTTACTACTGACTCAGTTATTAAAAATGATTTTTCAAGTACAACCTTGAATCTGAAAGCCCACTGCACTTACTGTGTTAACAGACCTAATTCAAGTTATTAAAAAGAATGAGTGCTCCCCCCAATTTTTAAAATTCTTTTGGCCCAGGAACAGATCTTAACTGTTTTCTCCCCTTTCCTAAGTAACAAGCGCTCAAGAGGCCATATCAAAATCATGCTAATAAGAGAAACATACTTTACAGTGCTTGTGTAGTGAGGCTTTGAAGGTCACACATGGTTAAGTGGGATTATGTCTACATTGGCATTGTCAATGTCTTCAAAATTTACTGCACCAACACAGTCACTGTGAGGACAGAAAGGAAATTAAAGATATGTACATTATTCATAAGACAGCTGGTGGAGGCAGCCAAACCATATACTGCATGCTCCAAAATTCTAGTTATTTATTAAACGGTCCACAAGAAAAAACATGGAGATGAACTGCCCTGTGTGCTTGGCATGTCCCAAGATGAAAACAATCATCTGCTGAACTTGCAGCACATAAGAGATGACAGCTGTAGTACATATGTGCAGGGAAATAAGACAGAAATGTGTCATCTCTTGTCCTTTTATGCCCATGATCAGACTGAAATATTCTTCCAAATAGGACATAATGGATCCCGATTTCTAGTTTACAGGTAAAAGGATGGAGTCACCCACAAGCAGAGGAGACTCAGCTATCCCTTGGCATCAGAAAACATCTTGAGATTAGATAACATAGTCTACAACTCTTGCTTCAGAAAATGAGAGATGAATTGCTTGGGCTTAATCAAAAATTTCACAAGTAGAAACAATCCAGGGACATCGTACTTACTTATACAAAGAGATATGACAGATTTGAGAGCTTCGGCTTACACTGTTAAAGACAAAATAGATCAATCACTTTTTTTTTTTTTTTTTTTTTTTTTAGGAGGTCCCAAAAGAGGTGGTGACAAGTCAAAGTTTTGCTCTTTTGCAATGCTCATCTGTATTTGGTAAAAGGCCATAGTAAATGATTAGGTTGGCATATATGCTAAATGACCCAGTTCAGCAGGCAGAATCTTGTCTTTTTATTCTCAGACACTGGGACTTCAGTCAATTTCATAGGATAGTATAAACAAGTTTTTTTTAAAAATGAACTGCTCCTCTACTTGTAACACCACTCTCATCCAATTCTTGAGAACATGGGAAAATTTAACATCAGGTCTGAATTTATTTCGGTCTGTCCCTGCAAGCTGCTCTCACTGTCCATGTCTATATTTGTCTGAAAGAGCAACATTCAAGAAACCACAGTGACAGCATTTTCTATCTCCCTCCACCCTACAGAGGTACCTGTCTCTCCCACTGTATGTGTGCAGTAGCACACCTGTTCATTGAGTTTGCCCGAGCAAACCTGCTGGGTCATGGAGTGGAAAGGAGAAAAGTTCTAGTCTTCCTGTCTTGTTTTGACCAACTTTTTCCTTCCCATCTCTACTTGGCTCTTAACTGAACTCTTCTGAACATCCTGTCACCCTTTACTGGGCTCATCTGAAATGCTCCACTCAGAGATAGAACAGAATACATGAAATACAGAGTGAAGAAAAGACACCAATGCACAGGTGATTGTTTTGGATTCTACAGACAGCAGATAAAACCTTGAGTTTGTACATGTGTATGATCACTATGGTGTTTTCATAAATGTCATGTCTTAACCAAAACATCAGATGTATGAAGTCATGACAATCATTCACTTTACAGATTTCTTCTGCTTCTTATATTTAACTCTCTCACAGGATAAGCATGTTAGAGTAAACTTTTCATATAGTTATTAATGGAATATCTTAACTTCTCTAGTTATAGAATGCTGCTGAATTTAGTCTTCTGCAATAATTAACTGTATGCAGAATTCATAAAGGAGGTGTTCAGATGACCCTGACTCTCACAAAAAAATGAAATTTACAAATCAACAGGTCTCTGTTGAGAGGTAAAAGATCTCATCTGAAATCTGTCCCAGAAGCCTCCAACAACCTAACCCCATAATTAGATGCTTCTTGTAAAGTAGTATTACCTAATTAATTTGGCTTAGCAGATTTTCATGCAGCAATCTGAAGCAACTGCAAGACTGAATTTTCATTTAGTATAAACAAAAATCATTACAGTTACTAATCAGAAGTAAACTAACTTAATGTGAGATTTGTTATGGTACAGCATCATTCCTATAAACCAATTTTTCATCAATATCCTTGTTCTCTCTTTTGGTACTGTGCACGCATATCTTCTGTACCAATTTACAGGGGAGGGGGAGGGAAAACCATGAAATCATTTGAGGCAGTTACTGGAGTGTGCTGATGACCTTAAATGTTCACTTGGAACTGTATTCATTTGAATGCTTTGCTGTGGATTTATGTGCATGACATACACAAATTTTAGGCTACATTTCATTAGCAAAACCTAAAGCCAATTAGCAAGAAATTGACTTGGCTTATTTCAGGTTCAGGATTGTATCTCCTTTTTGTGAAACATTGGGAAGTAGGATCATCCAACACTTCCACTCGATTCTGGAGGCTGGAAGGTAGCATATTATCTCAAGCAGCTTCTTCATAAACTCTAGATGAACAATAGAAAAGAAGATAAAAATGTTCCCATATAATATAGCACAGGAATAACAGAAACTCAATCTATGACCTATAGGACTTTGGATGATAGCACACTTCTGTGGCTCTGAAATGCCTGCATCTCACAAAAATATCAATTTATAGACAATAATCCTTTGGATTTGGCATCTTTAGATTAGATATTAGAAAAATATTCTTTAATGTGAGGGTGGTGAGATACTGGAACAGATTGCCCAGAGCAGTTGTGGCTGCCCCCTCCCTGGCAGTGTTCAAGGCCAGGTTGGACGGGGCTTTGAGCAACATGATCCAGTGGAAGGTGTCCCTGCCCATGGCAGGGGGGGGTTGGAACTAGATGATCTTTAAGGTCCCTTCTAACTCAAATTATTCTATGATTGATTCTATGATTCTATAATCATTACTAACCGACATTAGTAGCTGGATAATAAGGAATTATGTGCCAAAGAAGGATGTAGAAAATAACAAAGGTGTATATTTCCAGTTTAAATGAAAATGAAAAGCCTGGAATTATATGTTGCTTGTTGGGGAACAAGTAATGGTATAGTTTACAGGCTTATCTTCTTTAAAACTGTCTCACTCACTAATTGAAAGAGGTAGTTTATCTTCCAATAAACTTACAGTGATGATGAGATTTATTTTGTCTAAATTTGAATAATCAGTTAAGTGAGACAAGACATAGAGATTAGACACCAGTCATGTTATGCTTGTGACAGGTGTTGGAGACAGATGTACAGAATGCCTTTTTGGAAACTCTGGTTTCTTTTCACTGCGTATAGAGGAAGTGGAGATGAAAGGCACAGACTGGATGCAAGCTTTTAGGTAACTAAATTTCATGAGATGAGTCCTATGCTAAATGCTGGTAAAACACCAGAAGTTCTGAGTGACAGAAAAAGTGTTTGTAGTCTGGTATGTCCTGCTACCTAAAGGTGCACAGTAGCAAAAAAAAAAGATGAAAAAACAAAGAAAAGCACAAGCAAGGAGTGTTTTTAAAAGAAATGGTGTCTTAGTATTTGACTTGTAGAAATAGTGCCTTGCTTTTTCTTTTGTCTATCTTGCAGAAGGATCACTTGATTCCTAAGATAAATCAACTACATGGCAGAAAGCAATGCTATCAACACATATGATCCTATGATTGCTTGTTTAAACTATGTATCTACATTTTCCTAGTTTACTATCTTCTTTTGCATCAGAATGTGAAACATGCATTTCCACATACTTCACCAGCCAGCACTGGAGATCAAGAATGGATCTATTTTTGAAGAGTTTTACTCTAGAAAGAAAATGTAATATAGTGAATACAAGTTTAAAAGCTAATAGACTATCCTTGCCTCTCTACTCCTTAAGTATGTAGCTTTCCATTTGCTACATTATTTATAAAATGGCATAGCAACCACAATTTGCAGTCCCTCACATATGCCTAATGTATCTGTATGATGTTCCTTGGTACAAAAGAGGTCCAACTTAACGGTTTAAGTACAGGCAACACTTTAAGGTCTTTGAATAGTCTCATCAGTGTGGAAGGATGAAGGATGTCATCACATTTTCAGTGTGAGAAAGACAATTAATTTGCCCTATGGAATAACTGATTTTAAAAAATTACTTTTTTTTTTTTTTTTTTTTTTTTGACTTGCACCAAATAAGGTGGTGCCTAAGTATTAAATATATGAGTCTTTATAGCAAGTATGAGGTTCTGGTATCTTTTGTAATTCTGTTATTTTTGCTCTAACTCTGTCATCAGTTACACATAACTGACATTGGTAGTATCAGTCTCACATTAAAGTCTAAATGCCTTAACTAGATAACAACACAAAAAATGAAAATTATTGGAGCAACAGCCACCATTAAAATTTTGTCATGATAACATATAGCTACCTGAAATATAGTGCTTATTTGAATATAATTAGATGAAGAAATGATAAAGTCACTACACTACTGTAATCACTGCCCAAGTATGTTGAATGGAAAGCAGACCAGAAACAAAATTATTTAAATATGTTTTCTGTCATTACAAGAAGAGCATTTGCCTTGAGATTGGGATCCATACAAAATGCAAAAATACGGTTTTGGTCAGGTAGAGCAGGAGCAACTTTCACTGGAGTTCTCCAGCCTGAAAGAAAGGGCTTTCTACTGTGTTAATTGATTGAAATTAAAATAATTGAAAGTGGCATGATCTGTTCTTGTCCAGTTGGGAACTCAGTGTATTGGCTTTCTCAATTTTAGCTAATGACAAGCTTAATGATACTGTAAGTTTCAGTTTATTACTTAAACTAGTCTGCTAATCTGACAAAGTAGGATTCAATGACAGATAACGAATTTAGGGAATTTCTGGTTTGGATTCTGAGTCAGAAACTGAAGATGTGCTCATTCATATTTCTAAGCTGTTTCCCAGAAACCATGAAAGCCAGAACATCTTTTTCTTTTGTTTTTAAAGGAAAAAGTGAGATTCTTATATCACTACATAAATAAATATGCAGAGAGGTCGCACTAAACCAGCAGTCTTACAAGCTTCACTGCGCCTCACTGTCATTCAAAAGCTGTGCACTGTTTTTGACCTCTTATATTTTAAAATTAATAGGAGCATTGACTTTAGCGTGCCCAGCAAGAGATAATAATGACAAATGAAAGGTTTATAGATAACTCTTCCAGATTATTTTGCTTAGTTCTTTAGTTAATTATTCTACTTCTCCTTATATATGGAAAATAAATATAAACCATTAACATTACTTCTTCTCTCTCTTTTACTCCTTTGAAAGAAAAGGCTACAAATCACCCCCTGAAAACAAATAAGCATAAAACCCATCAGCTTATACTAGAAAGACATGCATGTCAAAAGAAGCAACAGAGAAAGAACAAAGTTGTTGATTAAACAAAGCATCACTCTGCTATTGGGCAAGTGAAAAACAAATGCAGAGTGAAATACGTAACTGTGGAGAGGATAAATAATCAAATCCTTAGTGAAACCAGAGTTGTTTTACTTCATGGTACTCAGCTCTGAAGAGATTATTCTGAGTTTTTATGCACCATTTCCAGATGACCTATTAGCTTATTAGGCAGTATCCTATTACACAATTCATTGTGTTATGGGTAATTATTTAATAGCACAGACATTCTTGAGCCTACTGTAGGCAATTTTTCAATCTTAGTTGACTTTGTTTATATGCTACAATAGTTTTGAGCTATGCATGTTATTTATGAGTGTCCTTGAATTGTTAATTTGATGTCTTTAAAGTTGCACATTTTTTTCTTTGCTTTACATGTTGTTGCCTCTGACTAACCTTTCCTCTTTCTCTTCCTGTAGGGAGGTAAAAGGTTTTATCTCAGTAAGTATCTATGTTACAAATGGGCTGCACCATCATTGCCTACAGTCATTTCCTATCATTAAAGGTAGAAGAGGCTGGAATACTACCCTGGTATGTCTCACACTCAATGTGCTGCTTAATCCTGGATTACTCCTCAATGACTACTTCTCCAGAGTAATGATTACTCTGGAGAAAATGCTTCTTGCTTCAGGAGAGGAAGCACTGGGAAGGGAACTCTTCCTATACAAAGGCCATTGGGAAATTAGTATAAGGCAAATACAATTATTTCAACAACTTCTGCATAAAATTCTTCAACACAGCCTCTTAAAGTAACAATGGAATAAAGACAAGATCTTCATGAGGATAAATAATTGATTAGAAGATCAGAGAAGGAGGGAAGGGGTAAATGATCCATCTTCCAGGTGGTAGGACTTTGTTGCTTAACATATTGAAAAATTACCTAGAAACAGAGGGTTTAAAGTTAAGTGGTAGGTTCAAAAAGCAAATGGATATATTTGTGAAGGCAAATCTATGAATCCATGACTAATAACTACAAGCACACCATCCCCTGCTCATGAAACCCTGGTCAACCAATCATCACATAATAGTAAAATATGCGAGGAAGTATGGTGACATTCTTTATTAATTACCCAGAGTGTTGGATGAAATACTGGACTAGTTGGGCTTTTGGACAAATCTAAATATGGCCACTCTAGTTCTGCACTTATTTCTTATAGAAAAGGGTTATTATCAAGTCTACAGGTAAACTCTATAATGTTTCCCATTTCTGAGTTTTTGAAGAAAACTGTGTCTACAGGTATGTCAGTTTCCAGTAGGGGTAAGAAGTCATCTCTGCTCCTTATCAGACTTATCAAATAGCCTGGTTCCTTCTGCAATCCCCATGCCCATTGCTGTGTTAAGCCATACGAGACAGAATAATAATTACAAACTGGCTATGAGGGCTTTGTCACTAGGTTTCCGAATACACTTGCCGAGTCAAATTTTGAGGTCCTTCTAAACACTGTAAAGAAACTTGAGACCACAGATAGAAGGTTAGAAAATTCTGCTGTCATATGAGTGAGAGAAGGGAACTCTACAGGCAAACACTGTCAACTTCCTAAAGACCTTCCAGCACTGAACATCTTCTCTATACCAAGTGAGAACACATGAAGAATGCTCTTCAGCCATCTCCCTTCTCTGGCAGGCTCTGATTCTCCAGTCTTAGAACGACCTGCTTTGAGGGTCTGGAATATCAAAGGTGAGAAGCAGACAGTGTTCAATAAACTTGCTTTGCTCAGTAGATGCAAAAGACTGCTGGGTAAGTTCAAAGTAACACTGTTGACTGCCAAAGCCACAGCAGTACATCCTCTCACAACAGAGAACCTCCTGTCTATTGCAGATGTTTTATATATCTCAGCTTATCTGTCTCAAAGGCTGCTTCTGTCTGGTTTGGTTTGGTTGGTTGGTTGTTTTTTTTTCCCATTCATCCCCAACACAGTGGAGAAAGTGACTGTAGAACAAATGCCTGACTGATCACTCTTTGAACACAACTTCCGCAAACAACTTAGCTGTGGAATGTATTGAGACTGATATCTAGAAAGATTAGCAACTTTCATCACATCACGTGCCCAAGGGCTGTTAGTTGGTCTCTGAATCATATAGTTGAAATCTGGAATTTATTTATGCAATCTCATTAAAAATAGTAGTTTAAAATTCAATGACTTTTTATATCTATATTTACACATTTGTAGTTAATACCTCAGCATCACAGGAAAACTCGGAAATAAATACTAGGTTTGGAAGAACATTTGCACAGCCTTCCTTAAGAAATCCATGTTGGTCTATAAATGTTTCAAGGTTTGTCCCTGCGTTAAGTTTGACTTTTTCCAACAGCTTTAGTGGAGTTAGTATTTCACTCTAATAGTGAACTTTACCCAACAAAAAATCACCAAAAAGTCACCAGACAGTTTCTATCTTCTTTCTGGAGCTACTGTCCATTTCAGACCACTTTCTCCACTGTAACCCAGGTTACTGACTTGATAACATTGTTTCAGATTTTGTCTTGTGTTCATTTCAGGTGTCTCTATGTGCCAGAGTATCTGTATCTCTGTCTCTGTCTGCTTTTCTCTGCGTCAGAAAAATTAATGGTCAGATAGAAACACATATTCAAATCTTTTTTCCTCGTCACTTTTTCAGAGGCTTGCAGAAAAAAAAAAGCTGATCAGTTTTGACTGATGTCTGAGGTCTATATTCACACATAAATGCAGAATGCAGCAACTGAAAAATGAGTGAAAATCATATGGGATGAGGAAGAAAAAAAAAAAAGGAAAATTATGTAGTCTATTTTTTTGTTATATGACTGCAGTAAGTTTAAAGTGACTTAAAATGCAAAGTTCAAAGACAAAAACGGAACCAGAAACATGCCTGAATTCATAGCACATAGAGACTTCATGGTGTCAACAACATGGATAAAGTACAGCTAACTATGAAGTGAGAATGTTACCTCTGTACAGTAAAGTGGAACAAGGAGTTTATTTACATTTCTTTACCATATTCTAAGAAATACTTCCCCTCATCTATAAGCATGTTGGCCTCAGTTCCCATAAAATTTTGGTCTAGTTGTAATGAACATTTATTTATGAAAATTGTTGGAATAGCTTAATATTTATAAAAATTCAACTATATTGCTTACTGCTAATTAAGTCTGCCTTTAGAAGCTGTAGGCAGATATTTCTGCTTTCCAGAATTTTCATCAGAAAATTCTGAATAGTAAATACCAACCCAATTTTGCTTCATATTAAAAAGAATGAATTTCCATTTTGATGCTGTAATAAATACAAAATGAACAGACTCAACTTTATGTGAAACATACTGGTATTAAATAAGAGGGTAATACGTACTTTGACCAACATGTCATGTCAGTTTTAAAGAACTTCTGTTCTCCAACCAACTAGACACTGGAATAGGTCTTTAAATACGCTGCACTGCAACTTGTCAGGAAATACTTAAAGACACAGAAATATCCAGGGGATTTCCCGACTCTGGAGTGAATTGTTATTTTGGTTTACATTAAAACAGGTGCGCATTAGAACTATTGTATATAACTTTAAAATGTACATGAACAGAATTTTAAAAGCATTATTAATTTTCAAAATCTGGGTTTTTTTTAGCATTAGAACGCTCATTAGAATTTGCTCACTGGTATGTCTTCCCTACAGCACGGACAATGAGTCATAGAAACTCTCTACTGCAGTTATATTCAGTTCAAATATCCAGGGCAAATGTATTTTATAAGGTTATTCCTTCATCTTGGGGGTATGGGAGTTCTGAAACTAATTTTATTTATTTGTTAAGCATCACCAATTTCTTTGGCGATTAAGAAATAAAAATCATAGTTTGCTTTACCTCTGAGTCATGCCCTGACAGAAGGCAGCTGACACAGCCCTGGTCTTCCACCTCCTGTCTTGGCTGGTTTTCTCCAGGAGGATCACCTGCCTCCTGTGGGCAGGCTGGCCCCTCTTTCCTGTGACTGGGGACATCACTGTACTCTACCAGGGATTCAATAGGTCTTCCAACATTGCGCTGCAGGTCAGCACCTACTCCCGGGCTCATAAAGCCTGAGCAGGGATCTACTAGAGGCCCATCATCCTGGTGTGGGAATAAAGGGTAATTCAGCCCTACTGGAGGGGTGAATGGATTTAGTTTAAGAATTACTGTTTTTCTCTTCAAAGCTGGCAAAGCCATGTCTGTTCTCAGGAACTCTCACAATAGGCACGCACATCTTTAACAGACGTTGATACTGTTGGTGATCCATCTTGTGAACTTGTTCAACCGACAAGGTGGACTTTTTAAAGGCACTTGTCTGCCTTTCAGCTCTGTGGGAAATCCCAGCCATTCTCTTCTATCGTCCTTATGTGGCAGTAAACTTAGAAAACTCTACTTGCTCCTGTTTCTCCAAGTTTCTGAAGTCCTAGCCAACAAACCACAGAAAAAACTAGAGGTCATCCTCCAGAAGATCAGTGCATAGAAATCATGAAGAGCAAGGCAGTGGTTTAAGTAGTGAATTCTTTCCTGAAAAGAGATTTATCAAGTATGGTACAAGAAGAACAGAGCCACTGAATGAGCAGAGCGCTTTTCCATTGCTTCATAATGATGGAAACCACCTCACAATGAAGTCTCCTGGTGTGAAACAGTTCATGTGTACCAGAGTAATACAGTCCTTCAAGGGGACACACACAGCAACTTGAAGTGGCCCTAGAAATTACTTATTAATCTAGTAGAGACAAAGTGAGAAGTTTTCTGTCTTAGTAAGAATTATATGGTGTTTTCATTGAAGTATTTTAAAATAAGCTGTTCTGCTGGTATCTAGATGACATATATGAATTCAACTGAAACACAGATTTAACACAAAATTTATCAAACACAACCACAGATAAATGCAAATCCAGAAAATTTACAGTTATTACTTGGAACAAGTAAATCACACTGACATCATAGTTTTCCATGCAGCTTAATTACCTCCAGAGTTTTGCCATTTGTTCTATCAGGTTGGCAAATCCATTAGTGTCACAGCTCTGTATATGCAGCACTCATTGCCTAATCCCAAACCCTACAGTATTCATTTAGCAACCTAAACAAAAGAAGTCTGATTTACAGAGGTCCTCTCTGCATTAATTCAGTGCCATCTGCAAAGGTCTGGTACTTTGGAAAAATCAAACTATGTTTATTTGGACAGCTCAGGTCACACTATGGGGGCCTTTATTTTATGGCCTTGTCAGGAAAAATTAGGACACAGCACCTGATCATTCTCTCTTTCGTGTTTGTCTCACACAGATTTAACCTCCCTGAATTCCTAACTTTCTCTTGATTAACACTAAATCAGAAACAGGCCTAACGTTTATTACAGTACAGGTTTATAGTAATAAAAAGCTGTGTTCCATAATGCTGAATCATGGTGGAGTTTTCTTGGAGTATTTTGCTGATGGAGCTGAAAGTAAATAAATCAATAAATAAATCTTCCTTCTTTATTAAGACAGCTTTCATACATAGGTCACAAGAACTAAAATGGGTAAAAAGTGATAGCTGAGAACATTGTATATACAGTACTGTCATTGTAAGGCTAAGCCAACACTATGAAAATACAGAATTCTTTGTCTGACACATCTTGTGTCCACTTTCTATAGCGCTTGTACATTCAAGTTACTTCCAAAAGAAAAGATACTTCCAAAATGTTCCTTCCATCAGTAACAAGGCTTTCAAATGCCATACTGGTGTCTATATTTACTGACAGTAATCTCCATAAATATAATCAGTTTTACACTAGAAATAACATCCAGTGCTGCAAACTGACCTTTACCCCCACCACTTACCTTCGGAGTAATTTAGAAAGAGATGGTAGGAGAGGCAAAGACATGGGACTCTGGTAAGGCACAGGATGGAAGAAGACACTGCAAGGATGACTCATGTTTTGTTGCATTCAGTTTGCAGAGTGAAATGCAATTAAAGCTTTATCTTGGAATTTTTTCTCAGGGATCCTGTCCAGATTACCCTCGGAAGTAAATTTGCCAAGTAAGGCTTAGTTATTTCTACTGTTAATTTTCAGAAGTGATCCATGCTTTAAACAAGCACAAGGACAGCTAGTTATATGTCAAAGCTAGTCCTCTTTACCAGGTCCCCTTTACCTGCCTTTTACTTACTTTGCTTCAGGATTCTGGTGGAGGAGTCCTTTTGGTTCTTTGGTGTAAACAGCCATTCTTCTTCTCTGGCACAGTAACAACATGCCAAATCTTCCAATACAGTGAAATTTTCCTGCCAGAATTTACTTGCTTCCCAGAAAACTCATTCCTGCCCCCCCCCCCCGCCTCCAATTATTAAAAAAAAATCTTTCTCTACCCTACTACAAATTAAATACTCTTATGCCACAGGAACATGAAAATGTCCGATTCCAGACCCTTTGCTTTTTTTTGTAGCAGTGCAATAAGGACTGAGCAGCACAACTGTAAATGCTCATGACAGTGCCCAGACCAGCACAGTTCTTGGGTTTTGCAATGGAAACTTCCTTGCTCTATTTTTTTTTTTTTTTCAGGAACTGCATTGAGCCTTTGGCCGCCCCCAGGTGCAGTCTGCACCACCGTAGGCCTGGCTGTTTCAGAGGCGATGCCCCCGGGCCCGAGGCGCGGGCGTGCAGGTGTGTTAATGGATTGGGATTGCTTATGCATAACCCGGCGGCGGGACGATTAAAGGTTTAGAGCTGCCGCGGCGGCAGATGTTTCCCTGGGCTTTGAGGATGTGAAACCCTTCCCTCCCCGCCCCTTTCACCAGAGGTGCTAGCGCAGAGCTTGGCACTGCGGCTGGGAAAGCCCCGCCGCTGGCCTCCCCCCGGGCGGGTCACGGCAGGGAAGGCCGGAGCCTGCGGAGCCCCCG